TTCGTATACTATTCCATCTAATATTCTAATAATTTTACCACCGGATTTCACTATTTCTTGAATATCAACTGATGTTAAAACATCGTGACAGAAACCATTTCTGAATCTGATTTTAGTGCCAGTTTCCTTCTTACCTATACTATTCGTAAAAGTTATTTTATCTTTAGCTGGTATGGGTTGAAAGAACATGTTGGTAGGATATTCAAACCAGACTTTTAAAATAGCTGTTCTAGGTCTGAATTTTTGTTTATTGAAGAGTTTTACAAATTCTTTTTCTTCTTCTGGTAGAAACGCTCTAGCACTTTCCGCTTTAGGATATTCACCTTCTGTCATGGCTGAAGCGTACAACCCATTAGCGTCAAATGCCATCAGTTTAGAATAGTCCAGTTCTATGAGTTTAGCGTGAACTTCCGTTTTATCTTTTGGGTTAACACTGTATTCTTTGAATAAATTATTATTCCTTCAGTGTCTTTTAATATGGCGCAGATCTCATTCATTTTATCCGTTTCAAATGATTTTCGATTTGCCGAAACTCTTCCTCCTTTAATACGTTGTCTGATAAAATATCTTATAAAAGGGTGAGTATGTGAGTAAACTTTTTCTACGTTTTCTTTTTCGGTGTGTTTCGGAACCATTCTAGTAGTTTCATACCATTCTTCTTCTACCATTTCTTTATCGTAATGATAAAAATAATACCAACCCCTTAAAGATAAAGAAGGAGCCGTCAGATTATTGGAAACGTTTTGGAAGACAGTTTTTTTCATTGCTTGATTGTATTTTATCAAACAAGCTCCGAGACATAACGTATCTCTTTTAGCGTAAGGTTCCCATTCGGGTCTTAAAGATCCCAATTATCTTTAGTGTATTTTGCAATATTAACATCCTCGATCTTTCTTAAATTCATTGGTAGATTAGATGAATTTTCCCATGCCGTTAAACTAGATTTTTCATGTTGATAGGAACATGTGAAATTAATATTTTGCAAATAATTAGATTTCGGGGAAGGGAGGGTTTGATTCTCCCAAATGTACAGGCCTAGGGTGGAGCAGACACTTTATTTAGAAATTAGGATTAAGGGTCTTGATATTGGGTTTTCTTCTGTTCTTATTCTGATCTGAAATTAGAAAAAATATCTCGCCCGATGGGCGAGAAGTATAGTATCTGTTATGTACTGATTGTTTTTAGTTTACTATGAACAATATTATCATTTAAGTTCTTATTTTTTGAATATGCAACTATCATTTTCTGCTTATAGACATGGGGGAATTTCTCTTGAAGGCTCTTATAGTGGGCATGAACTATCTTGCTTGCTCGATTGCTGGTTGTATTAAACGGGACAACAAAGGGTGCTATGCCTACATTATGATGAATATTTAGTCCTATAGGTCTTGCTGTATTCAATGTCTCAATCCAATGGGCCTCCCTAGATTGACGGAATTTGGTAGTTTCATCTTCGGGCAAGTCAATTTCTATACGCTCAATTGGGATTAGGGTGAGATCGTCTATTGAATGGTCGTCGAGGTTGAAATGATTAGAAACAGGCTTGTCTTTCTTTAATTTGATGTCTGACCTATGAGCATTA